CTCTGCGCCAGCCGCAACAGCAAGGCCAAGCTGAAAGCCCTGAAGGAGGCCATGTACCACAGCGCCGAGCACGGCTACGTGGATGTGACCATTGACATAAGGAGCATAGGTCAGTCCCGGCACCCTCTCCTCTCCCTCTGGGGAGGGACCACTATAAGAAACGCATCTCTCTTGACGGGCTGTTGCTTAAACAGACGACAGGTGCACCTTTCTCAGCTCTTGTGGAAGCAGAAGGTAATGGGGGATCTCGCGGGTTCCCGGCCCATTTTTGCTCCACAGCGCACCCTTTTCAGGGACCACTGGCACTTTTCTGCAAGGTGGAGTAGTTTCCACCAGCAGTCATCCTCACTGCTGCGTGGCAGAGGGTTAGCTAAGGGGCAGTGTTTGGATGCTGTGGGCCACCTCCTACAGCTCCTCTTTTGCACTCTGCTGTAAAACAGTCCACCATTAAAATATCTTTATTTTCCAAGGTTTGTGAGCCTCTAAGGGCAGGAGAAGGGAACTGGCTTCTTGGTGTGCCAACTCTGACAATGTGGGACTTGAACATCATACCAGCCTGCTGGGAAAGTTGCTTCTGCCCATGGAGAGGGTGGTTGGGTAGCACGGAGGGGAATCGGTCTGGACTTTGTATTTATCGTCCCAATTGACCTGTATTCAGACAGAGAGACCCAAGTGCCCAGCATGCCTCTGCCTGGTGCTGAGTTTCAGCCCTGGGACATGTGGCGTGGGTCAGGTTGTGCGGTGGTCTCAGCGGTGGCTCAGCAGGGAAGGACCTGGCAATGAACAAGAGGCGAGCAACACGGCTGCTCTCCAGGTGTTGGATGTTTGCTGAAATGGAAGGAAAAACCTCTTGTAGCCAAATGCCAGGCTTGCGTTTCCTCCCACTCTGTTTCTGCAAGTGCAGAAACTAGGTCACATCCAGCCTAATGCTGGCAGAGGTATATTAGCTCCATGTGCTTTCTCGCTCAGTGCATGGGAGCAGTTCTCTTTAAGTTCCTGGAGAGTGGTTCTGCCGCGACAAACTACTTGAAAAGGCTGATGTGCTTAACTCGCCCAGTGCTGTTTAGGGAAAATAGCAATGATTGGGAGAGGACATGGGGTAGCGCTTAGAGAAAGTTTTAATCTGAAGACCACCAGTTTGAATCCAGGTGGGTAGTGACCAATATCAGGTTTTTTTACCATTTAATGGCTCTCCAGGGCCATATTCAAACAAATGAGCTAGTGTAAATCTAGTTTCCAAAAGGCTTTTGCATCACAGAGCTCCACAGCAATTACCACAAATTGGCAGTCTCAGCAGAGAAACTGAAGGCTAGATGAGCAGAGAGACCACAGTCTTCTCTTAGCACTTGGAGGAAAGCCTTTGTGCATTAGGTCTGGGATGTCCTGATAACCACCAGCCTTCTCAAATGGGGATAAATAGGAATTTGATTTCTAGGGTTATTTGGCAGCTTTTGCTTTAAATCTTAATGTAAGTAAAGGTAAAAATGCAGAAGGGCACGTCCTTCTCTGAAGCTGGGAATAAGCTCTGTCCTCCTTCTGTAGGTGTTCCCTGGACGCTGCACACGTGGCTGGAGTCCTTGCGCACATCCTTCCAGCAGCACAGACGACCCCTCATCCAGTGCTTGCTAAAGGAATTCAAGTCCATTCAGGAAGAAGAGTACACAGAGGAGCTCATCACACAAGGGTTGCCTCTGATGTTTGAGATACTGAAAGCCAGCAAGGTAGGATAAATTATACATTTTAAAGAAATCAGCCTAATTCCTATCCCATTAGACACAAAACTTGCGATACTGTTTTTGCACAGCTGTCCCAAAGCTTATTTAGACTGTATAGGATTATTATTATTTGTATTATGTATCTCAAGTTTTTTTTTCACTGTGGAAGCATGTGTTAAAAACACACAAGCTAATCACATCTCCTGCTAGAACAGCTTAAAACTGATGCTAACAATAAGCTGGAGAGACAACAGGAGCTGATGCTAGTGGTGAAATTAAAATCAAAAGGGTCACTGATAACCAAACCAACCCAAAGAGTAACTTTACCTAGCTTGTTTTACAGGACCGTACAACAAAGCTCATATTCATGTTTGCTTTGGATTTCTTTAACCTCTCACATGACTTTCTCTTCCCTTCATGTGGGATTTGGACTCTTAAACTTGTGGGTAGACTGGTTTCTACAAACACAGAACGGGATAATTTTTTTAAATCTTCTCTATGAGTGTTTGAACTTGCAGCCTCCCCAGATTTATTCTTTCAGCTGACATTTTCTTAGCCAGACAAATCAGACTAACAAAACCTTTTGAGGGAGGTACCACTGGGTATGTAAGTATAATAGCAAAGGGGATGATCATGGGGCAGGCAAGGAGAGGAAAATGTCTTACCTATTGAAGCATGGATACTTCCTTTTAAAATTGTTATAACCAACAGCCTCTTCTCTACTGGTCTCCCTGACGGTCAGTTGCTCCCAAGGAATGGCCAGTCAACTTTAGTATTACCAGAAAATCGTTTTAGTAATGAAAAGCATCAAAAGGATTTGATTGCTGTTCTTTTTCTCATGCACCACAATACACATTGGTATAGGCTTCTAATTGTTTAACTGGGAAGTAAGTAACATTGCTCACCCAACTCTACATGTAACGTCAAGGAGCAAATAATTTTTATCACCTGCAGCAACAGCCAAAATAACATGAAAAGGGGAGAGGTTCTGTTATAGGCACTCAATACTAAAAGGTTCCAGACTTACTATAGCTAGTGAAAGCCTACATGGATTTATTTCTTGTATCCTGCTGCAAAAGAGGGCTTGGACTACAGTCCCAAGCAAATCCTGAACATTTGTTCCAGCAATTGTTCTGATTTTCGCTCCCACGAGTCTTTCCTTTGGGATTAGTTTGTATTGGACGGGTATTTATGGAGAATATTTGAGATAGCTTTTAGGAAATCATTCCAAATCCTAGGATTTGTAGATTCCTTGTTCTGAACTTGCTTGGGTTAATGTGTGTTCATCCAGAAACTACCAGCAAGGTGCTGTTTGGTTTGAAAGCTGATCTAAAACTAATCGTATTGAAAACTTAACGGAGATTATGTTGAGGCCTTGTAATCTAGGATGAGGGATGTCTTTAATTGCTCTTCTCTGGGTGGCTGAAGCTAAGGCCAATGATCATCATTAGAATAAATTATTTACATAGGATTATACCTGTGGGACACATTAGGCTGGGTCTTCCAGAGCCTGTTGTGGGATACCTGGAAACAAATAAGTCTGCTACCTTCTGCTTTGGGTTCACTTAAAACCTAAAATGTGGAGGGGTGAAAAATTGAAGTATCTTAAAAAGCCCTACACAACAAAGAAGAAATCTGTGCTGATCTTTATTCCTGCCTCTGGGCTTAGGGGAGCTGGCTGTCTTCACTCTTCATGAGCATGCATATTCACAAACACACACACATACGCTGCTTCATATTCTTAGAAAAATAATGAATCATTCTGGGACACTGTAAGGATTTAAAAATTGTCTGCAAATGGCATGAATTATTGCAGCGGTCTTGTCCAAATGGCCTCTCACAAAGCTCTCCCAGACAGAAATGAGGACAGACTCTATGCAACCCTTTGGAAGGAATCAAAATAAATTCATTTATAGGTGAATGAGCCAATAAAAGTTCTCCCTGGTCACTCCATAGAAGGCAGCTGAGGAAAGCTGAGATTCAAAGGATCTTCTGTTCCCGTTCTCTGGAAAGGCTGAGAGCAGAGACTGTTCTTTATGTATACCTACAGAATGGAAATCTCCTTTAAGAGGTGCAGAAGGGCTGTAACTGTGGTTCACATCCCTCTCTTTTGACAGCAAATTGTAAAGCTCTGCATTTTGTAGAGCTATGGGGAGAGGAGCTTGATTTGCCAACATGGACATCCTTTTCCCTGTGGGCTGGGAACTTCGAAAGAGATTACAACTCTTGTGAAACATCACAGTCTGGCCCAGTACATTTCCTTAATGAGTTTTTCAGGGCAAAAAGTGTAAAGTAAGCAACTAGAAAGCACAGAGCCACTTAGCATTTCTGGGCTGATGTAAAACAAGATGTCCCATTTGCTACCTATTGTGATGCTCAGTATATTTTAATTGCATGGCAACTTGCACCTAATAGAAATGATCTTTTGCATTCCTATAAATAGTTCCAACTATCCCATAATCTCAGAACAATTTACAAATATTAATGAGTTGAGCCATGGAAGAAGATCTTATTCTCCCTGTACCAACAGGGAAACTGAGGTAATTAAAAAGGCAGATTTTCAGTGCCTCGTAGAGTGACGGTTTCGGCCTCAGAAGCTGTGACAACCTGGATAAGCCAGACAGCAGTTTGTAAACTGAGTAATTTGGCCAGAGAAACTCTTCAAAAATTGGATAAAAACATAATGCAGGTCTCAGAGTAGGAAGCACGCCTTCTGCCCCCACCTTCTACTTTGCACTGTCGGACAAAATGTTCTTGCAGGTTCCCAGGCTGTGCAAAAAGGACAGATACTACAGAAATGAAAAGACTACAGAAAAAATAACCAATATACCTACAAGAAGACCATCAGATATAAGGAATCCTTTTTGTCTTGTAGAAGATGGTTTTTAAAATGCCTGTTCCTACAGTGTCCAGATGTGAGGGTCTATGTGGGAGCTCTGCCACCAGCCAGCACTGACGCTGGTGTCCTGCAGGGTGGCATTCCGCTCCCATTTGTGTGCTGGGACGCTGACAATAGAAATAAAAATAAAATCTGCAGAGAAGTCCTGATGCTGGAACACAGAATGGCAACAAAAATTGGCAAATCAGGCAAAACTGGCTGAGCTGAAGTCCCTTGTTTTATTGCCTCTCTTCAAGCTGTGAAATAAGCGGGGAAGAACAGTGAATAGATTGCACATTGGTTGTTCGCTGCTGCAGTAAAGCCCTGGAGGAAGAGTTCCAAAAGCAGACATGAAGGTTTGGTACCCAGCTCCTGGTGGTTTCCAGTGGGACGGAGCGCTTTCATTTCCTTTCATGCCTTTAAATGTCTTTATCAGCTGCACCGTTGAGAATTGGATGGAGAGCAGAGAAGTGGCAGTATTTCCATGCTGGCGAGTCAGAGCTGCGAGAACAGACAGAATTGCTCTGCACTCGCTTCCCCCCGCGGTTCCTGCTGTCGTGCAGTGAGCTTGGGTCATTACCAAACCAAAGACCAGAGACAAGGTACTCTGGAGAAAGCAGCATCAGTGGAAGGGATGCCGACAGCTCAGTTTAAAGCACTTTCCTAAAAGCAAGGAAAACTTAAACTGGGAAAGCTCTGTCAGTAAAAATGTCAATGACGTGGTAGTAGATTTGGGCCACCAGATGAGGAGAAAAGGCGCTACCATTTCAGGATGGGTTGAATCTCTTTGCAGACAAGCAGACAAACATAGTCTGCTAGAAGTGGTTTGGACAGGGCTGTGTGAGACAAAAGCCAGAGAGACACTTCTGGGAGCGAGTAGCCCTAAGCTAAACTTCAGCTGCTGCGTAGAGCAGACTTGAGTCCCTCAAAGCTAAGATGACACCGGAGATCTTATTACAGAAGAAGGATAGGAAGATGCAGATGAATTTCTGCCTGTTGGAATCTGTGTTGTGCTCATTGTGGCCTGAGGAAACTCCCAAACATCTCACTGGAAGCTTTCCTTTGCCTCCAGACAAGATTGACATTTGCTTTGCCTGAGCTGGGCTCTGAGCTGGATTTCCCTCCTGCCCCGTGTTGGAAGACGATATTTGCCTGAGGAGTGGATGTGCTTGAGGGCTGGCCACAGCTCAGAGATTGCTCCCCTCCAAATAGAGACTTTTAATAGAGCTGCAGAGAGGCTGTACCCAGATCTGCGGGCTTGTAGTGCCCAAGGTGGGGCTTGCAGGTCAGCTCTTCCATTTTTGGAGGGAAGTTCTCTTGAGGATAACGTGCTGAATGTGCAGGATGCTTCTTTGGCTGTGAAAATCCTGGAGCTGTTTCAGTCTGATCTTGACATTTCTGCAACCTGAAAAGAGAGAGACTGAAAACCACAGCCTTGGAAGTTAAATATATCTGGCCTTTGGAGGAGGTTGGTTTTAGATTTCCACTCCGGAGCTCCACGTGAGCTTGCATTGTCATTAAAATAACCCAGCTCGATCCATGCAGATGAGCTAGCTCCATTGCTGATAGGACGAGGTTGCGAGCCAGTTTCATCCACTGCTTTTTCCTTGTACAGCACTTTAGATCAGATTGTCCTTTACCTTGTTTTTGGAGAAAAAGACAATCTTTTAATTCCAAATAACATCTCTTAGAACTGTCTGTCTTCCCCCGTACTATGGTGTGGAGCTGCTATTTGCTATTACTTTGGATCCTTTGTGGGCATGAATCGCCAAAGTCTATCTGTTTGTGCCCATGTGCATTGAGCACATGTGCTGAAGTGTTGTCTGAAGCTCCACCTGACACTGGAGGTGCTTCACACCAGGAAAATTTGGCTAAGGACTATGAGTATTCCTGCTAGCGCATTGTGCAAGACAAAATCAGCTGGAAAACTCATGGGACAGGTCCTTCACCCCGCTTCCTCCGTTGCGTTCTGCAGCTTTCTCTTCATCCTTCCCATCAGTGACAAGGTCATTTATTTTAAAATTTAGACGATTAGCGAGGTGTTGATCATGCTGTGCAGCCAGGCTTGTTGAAAGATGCAGGAAACTACTTTGCAAAGGTATTTCCTTGGAATTTAAAGTTCCTGCAG